GGGCGGGCGCGGCTCAGGCCGCGGGCGCGGCGGGGCCGCGCTCGGCGCGGGCGAACTGGCCGGGGGTCATGCCGTAGGCCCGCTTGAAGTGGCGCGTCAGCGCGCTCTGGTCGTAGAAGCCGGCTTCCGGCGCGGCGCGCGCCGGGGCCATTCCGCCGCGCAGCAGCCGCGCGGCCGCCTCCAGGCGGAACTGCACCAGCCGCGCGTGCGGGGTGATGCCCAGGCGGCGCCGGAAGCGCCCGATCAACTGGAAGGGCGTCAGCCCCACCTCCGCGGCCAGCTCGCGCAGCGGCAGCGCTTCGCCGTGGCGGGCGCGCATCAGCTCCAGGGCACGCACCAGTCGCCGATCGTCCAGCGCCTCCTCGGGCCGCTGCCGGCCGGGCCGCCCGTGCCGGGCGAAGAGCAGGCCGAAGCTCTGCTGCACCAGCTCGTCGGTGCGCAGGGGCGCGTCGCCCGGGCCGTCACCGGTGCTGTCGAGGCGGCGGTGCAGCGCCAGGAAGGCCCGCACCAGGCCCGGGTCGTCGACGGCATTGTCGGTGAAGCCGACGGCGCCGCCGCAGGGCGCCAGGCCGTGTTCGCGAACCAGGGCCGCCAGGGCCGCCTCGCCCAGGTAGAAGGCGCGGTAGCGCCAGCCCGGGCTGTGCGCCATGTCGCCGGCATGGGGCTCCTGCGGATTGAACACCAGCAGCCGGCCCGGCCGCGCGGTCCGGTGCGCGCCGCGGCTGTAGAAGGCGCTGCCGCCGTGCTCGGTCGCCGCCACCACCAGCGCGTCGTGGCTGTGCGGCGGGTAGCTGTGGTCGCGCAGCTCGGCCTGCATCAGGCGCAGATCGGGAAGCTGCCGGCTGCGCCAGTAGCGGGTGCGGTTGCCCGGCGGGGCCCTTTGCGTCATCGCTGCGTCTCGCGGCTGCCGCCTCGCGGCGTCCAGGGTAGCATCGCCCCAGATTAGCATCCCCGGGGGCGCGGCCGGAACGCTCAGGCGGCCAGGAAGCCGCCGTCGACGCAGATGTTCTGCCCGACCACGAAGGCGGCGGCGTCGGAGGCCAGCCAGAGCAGGGCGTCCGCCACCTCCTCGGGCCGGCCCATGCGCTTGATCGGCAGGCTCTGGCCCACCGCCTCCGGGTCGGCCAGCTTGGCGCCGAGCATCATCGGGGTGACGATCCGGCCCGGCGAGAGCGCGTTGATGCGCAGCCCCTGCGCCGCGTATTCCATGGCCGCCGAACGGGTCAGGGAGATCACCGCCGCCTTGGAGGCGCTGTAGAGCGCGAAGCCCGGATTGGGGTTGCGCACGCCGCTGACCGAGGCGTTGTTGACGATCACGCCGCCGCCCTGGTCGAGCATGAGGCGCACCTGCGCCTTCATCGCCTGGAAGAGCGCGCGCAGGTTGACCGCGAAGACCTGGTCGAAGCAGGCGTCCGACTGCTCGGCCAGCAGGCCGCGCGGCTCCTGATAGCCGGCGTTGTTGAAGGCGATGTC